TGCACAGTGAGCTGCAGTGACGACCCATTGGCTGGAGATGATAGAACCGCCACAGAAGTGATAGTATCCACTGCCGTCGACAAGAGAAACCATCCAGGATATTCGTTCACCTCCGTCTCTACTCCACCAACAATGCGGTTGGCACGGTTGACTTGTCCGCATCCAGCTGTGGGAATACATATCATCTTTACAACAACAAACTCACAAAACCATATTCACAAAAAACAGCTTGAAAATGGTGCTGTAAACTTCGGAGATTGTCCATCATCATCAACTTTCATCCATTAATTTGCTTAGTGTCTAATGATTTCTAATCCATCAACACTAGACTGTTGCGTCGCTCCAATTACAACAAATGTCTCTATGTAGTCTTTATTTGATTTTCTAGCTTTTTTTTATAGATCAACACAGATTTTATTTTTACGTACGGCAGTCAGAAGTAGGGGCAGGTGTGGTGCAGTAGTAGGGCAGGCGTCGGGGCATTTGTAGGAGCAGGTGTGTTCCCATCGACACAGACTCCGGTTGTTGTGTCAGAAATCCATTGCAATATTCTGATGAAAAGCAAGTGTTCATTAACTGATTGTAGATATAAGGAATAATGAAAAATATCTAAATATTTCTAGTAAGAGCACAATTTTTTAATGAGATAGCTTTCTTCCTGTGGTGCCAGAGGGCCTAAGAAAAACATTTATGGATCGCAAAATGTCGGTCATAGACAGTCAACATGCGAGTGTTTCTTACAGGAAAAACCTAAGTGGTACATTCTTCCTTCTAGGGAAAGCTTGAGGTGTGCATCTTTCACATTAGGATCTTTGATATACATAGATATACATCTCATGAAAGTTATTGAATTGAAGGAATTGATTCAGTGGCATAGTATAATATACCCACGTGTAACTCTGGCATAGACTCCGGGCCTATCAGGTCGAGCACAGCCATAACCCCACGACACAACTCCCACCAGCTTCCACTTGCCGTTTTCTTCCACCACCATTGGTCCACCAGAGTCTCCCTGTAATATTCACATATACTGTGTGAAATATGTCATATTGTGTGAAATATATCAAAGGGAATGTCATATATCAAAAACGACAAGTTAAAATTGTATCCTTAAAAGCAAGAATGAAGAACATACCTGGCAGGAGTCCTTGCCTCCCTCAGGAATGCCTGCGCAGATCATGTTGTCAGTGATGCTTCCTCCGTACTTGGTATTGCATTCGGTGTTTGTCATGGTGGGCACTGTTACTTCGAACAAGGTGCCCGATGTGGATCCTCCTGTTAAATGTATTGTATGAGCCAATGCAGACATTCTCTTTTCCTAAAATATAAAACAAATGTTTTTACAAAACTTGTTACTATTATCAGTACCCACCCTCCTGTTGAGCTCCCCATCCTGTGATTGTGGCATCCACACTATCATACATTTCACCAGCAGTTGGAAGGCAGACAGGGGCGATTTTGTTGTCAGATGGGAACTGGATCTCTGTCTTGAGTCTGATGAGGGCAATGTCGTTGTCCAGTGTGTTGGAATCATAGGACGGATGATTCACAATCTGTTACAAAGGTTATTACAATTGTTTAGCTGTCTGATCGTGAAAATATAGGTCGAGAAAAATAAGGACAAATCGATTCAGTTTTTCCAATGTTCTATGAGGAAGCGAGGACATTAAACTTACTTCAGCAATCTGCATCCACTGAGAATTGGCTTCGCTTGCGGAGTACAGGTTGTGGTCTCCCACCAGCACATAATCCGAGGTGGTCATGCTGCAATAATAATAGGGAATAGAGAAGTGGATTTGAGACAATAAGGGAATGTTTTTCTTCTTTTTTTACTTCAATAGGATCTACTTACCCAACTGCACAGTGAGCTGCAGTGACGACCCATTGGCTGGAGATGATAGAACCGCCACAGAAGTGATAGTATCCACTGCCGTCGACAAGAGAAACCATCCAGGGATATTCGTTCACCTCCGTCTCTACTCCACCAACAATGCGGTTGGCACGGTTGACTTGTCCACATCCAGCTGTGGGAATAAAGTGATTGAGGAAACTCGCAAAACCAGTTCATAGAAAATGGAGTACTGGACACTTCAAAGTTTGTCCACCCGTCATCAACTTCCTTATTGTCTGCAGGTTTTCTGTTATTTCATCAATGCTGAAGACTCTTTTTAATATTATGGTACCTTGAAGATTACTACAGATTTTGTTATCTTTACTTACGGCAATCAGTATTAGGATCAGAAGTTGGGGCAGGCGTGGGTGCAGTAGTAGGGGCAGGCGTCGGGCAGTTGTAGGGGCAGTCGTCGGGGCATTTGTAGGAGCAGGTGTGTTCCCATCGACACAGACTCCGGTTGTTGAGTCAGAAATCCATTGCAAATATTCTGATGGAAAATAGTCATCATTATCTCATTGTACGTACAAAGAATGATGAAAAACGTATTAGAATATTACTGACAAGAACTCAGCTTCTAACATTTCTTCATATATGGTATCCAGTCTAATTATAGAAAGTCTGACCAAATTTTCTGAATGCAATGCATTCATTATAAACGCAAGTGCATAAGTCTATAACTGCAACCCGAAACATAATCAAAGAATCCTCAACGCAGTGGTTACATTTTAGCTGAGCCCGTCATACATGGACACTGGAGCGGCATTGAGGTTGGCATGTTTCCTTGATCAAAAATATTAAGCAATCTTCACCAAACAGACTTTTGCTTATATTATACGACATCCCCACCAGATTTTTTTTTTTTTTTTATAACCGACTTTCAGCTTCTTATAACGTAAGAGAAACATTGGTGGTATTGCAAGATATCAGTCATAGACAGCAAAAATGTTAAAGTATCCCTTACAGGCCAAAGCTGAGAGGTACATTTCATCTTCCAGGAGATGCATTAGTTGTATAAAAATCCGTAAGATAGTTGTTTTTTTACTACAGGAACTGATTCAATGGCTAACCACAAATTACTCACGTGTAACTCTGGCATAGACTCCGGGCCTATCAGGTCGAGCACAGCCATAACCCCACGACACAACTCCCACCAGCTTCCACTTGCCGTTTTCTTCCACCACCATTGGTCCACCAGAGTCTCCCTGTAATATTCACATATACTGTGTGAAATATATCGAAAGGAATGTCATATATCAAAAAAGAAGTTGAAATTGTATCTTTAAAAGGTAAGAATGACGAAGGAACACACCTGGCAGGAGTCCTTGCCTCCCTCAGGAATGCCTGCGCAGATCATGTTGTCAGTGATGCGTCCTCCGTACTTGGTATTGCATTCGGTGTTTGTCATGGTGGGCACTGTTACCTCGAACAAGGTGCCCGATGTGGATCCTCCTGTTAAATGCATTGTATGAGTCAACGTTGGAAGATTTTTGTTATCATTCTCTGATATAAAACAAAACTTTAAAAGGCTTATCACGAATATGAGTACCCACCCTCCTGTTGAGCTCCCCATCCTGTGATTGTGGCATCCACACTATCATACATTTCACCAGCAGTTGGAAGGCAGACAGGGGCGATTTTGTTGTCAGATGGGAACTGGATCTCTGTCTTGAGTCTGATGAGGGCAATGTCGTTGTCCAGTGTGTTGGAATCATAGGACGGATGATTCACAATCTGTTGCAAAGGATATTACAATTGTTTAGTTGTTTGATCTTGAAAATATAGGTCGAGAAGAATAATGATAAAAACGATTCAGTTTTTCCAATGTTCTATGAGGAAGTGAAGACATAAAACTTACTTCAGCAATCTCCATCCACTGAGAATTGGCTTCGCTTGCGGAGTACAGGTTGTGGTCTCCCACCAGCACATAATCCGAGGTGGTCATGCTGCAATAATAGTAGGGAATAGAGAAGTGCATCTGAGACAATAAGAGGATTTTTTCTATATATATATATATATATATATATATATATATATATATATATATACATATATTTTTAGTAGTAGTAGTAGTAGTAGCTACTTACCCTACTGCACAATGAGCTGCAGTGACGACCCATTGGCTGGAGATGATAGAACCGCCACAGAAGTGATAGTATCCACTGCCGTCGACAAGAGAAACCATCCAGGGATATTCGTTCACCTCCGTCTCTTCTCCACCAACAATGCGGTTGGCACGGTTGACTTGTCCACATCCAGCTACGGGAAAGACGTTTGTGTGTATACTGTGGGTCGTGAAGCCATGGATTTCCAACTCTTTACATGGACGTTTTCATTTTTATTATTCAACTCTGGATATTCCGTTATCAGAGCAAAGAGGAAGGGTAAATACATACTGCATTCTGAAGTTGGCTCAGGGTCTACAGTTGTTGTTTGGGAGTCTGGCACTGTACAGGATATTACAAAGAGAAGACATTATGCGGAATTGGGAAATGTGCAAATGAAGCTTATTGCAAGACTTCCAATGTTCCTCAGTTACTGGAAATATATTGAATTTTACCTGAAGCTCTGACAGAGCAGGAAAATCCTGTATTAGATTTTCTTGTTTGTTTTGAACAAGACAGTAACTTTACTAGATTTATCAGACACAGTCAGAGAACCCTTGACACCGCAGTACCTGCAAAAGACACGGAGAAATATCGGTTAATCTGCAAAATACCTCCTCCTTCTGTAGAATATGCAGTTAACAGAAACGTAATGGTATTTACTTTTTCTTAAAACCAGAGGAATCTGTGACGCGGAAGAAATCTTTTTGCAGTTTTTCGAGTGTTGCAGCTGGAAATCATCACACTCGATGCTCAACTTGGAGTCGGTAGAAGTCTGAGAAAATAAGGAATTAGACGGAGTCAAGCAGCTGAAGAAATCAAAACTGCATCACAGCATATGACAATCAAAATCAAGGTTGATTGGCGCTGCAGTGAATTCTCACTTAGGAAAGAACTTACGCGGAATTTCCAGGTGCACTTCTTACCCCCGGGGTAGTTATTGGGGTAGTTCTTTGACTGGAATGTCTTGGAAGAACCTGAGCGATGTAGTAAGATCCGCACCCCACTGCAGCTGGAACGAGATATATATATATATATATATATATATATATATATATATATATATATATATATATATATATATATATATATGTGTGTGTGTGTGTGTGTGTGTGTGTGTGTGTGTGCTGTATATGTACACATATATGAACTAGTTACTTTTGAGATGA